TATAATAAATAATAAATTTTTAAGCATAACATCACAAAATACACTTTTGAGAAGCACGTGAAAGGGGAATATTCCCATCTAGTTCTTGAATTGCTAAAACAACTTTCCTGGGAGGAAGGAGATAGGAAGCAACTTGGGTTATGGATAGCTTCAAAGTTCTGTGGTAGCTGTTAAGATGCTGAAGAAAACCAGAAGTCTCTGTGTTACATTTTGTTTTCTTAAGAGGTAAAGAGATAAAGCAGCTATCAGGATTTTTCAGGACTATCTTGGAGAACATTTTAGCCTCTGAATGCTGGATAATGGAGATGTCCTGCAAGCAGCCTAATCCTGTTTCCCCCTTGCGTGGGACAATCTGTCCTTCTCTGCTTTGTGTTGTCCTGTTTTTCAGCTTCTTAACTTCAGGCTGAATAATGAGCACTTGTGCAAGATGTTCCTCCTTTTGGGGTGCTGTGGGGACAGTATCAGTTCTTGATTCTTTTATCATAGAATGGTTTGAGTTGGAAGGGACCTTGAAGATCATCCAGTTCCAACCCCCCTGCCATGGGCAGGGACACCTTCCACTAGACCAGGTTGCTCAGAGCCTCATCCAGCCTGGACTTGGACACTTCAAGGGATGGGCCATCCACAGCTTCTCTGGGCAACCTGTTCCAGTGCCTCCCCACCCTCTCCGGGAAGAACTTCTTCCTGATATCCAATCTAAACCTCCCCACTTTTTTGTTTTCTGAGTTTACAGCGTTAACTGTCTGTAGTTCTGACGCTCCTGCCACCTAGTCTATCAGACCATCACCATGAGGACGGGAAGCAGGCAGTTGACAACATCTGTGCACTGCTGCTGTCCGCATGCCCTGTGGAGTTTGAAGGGTCGGCTGTCACACAGGTTATTTCTCCCAGATCACAGTCCAGAAGTTGGATTCTTGGCAGCCTGGGCTAGCACTACTAGCACGACCTTTTTGCTCCCTTGCATGTGAAGTTCCCATCGATTGCTGTAGTAGCCGTACAGAGCTCGTGACTTCCTCTGCCCGCTTATTGAGTGTTAGGACAGAGGCTGTCATTACGATTTCCATCATCTGTATCCCGTCTCTGAGGAGCCTTTTGATAAAAAGGGGTGGCAGAAGTGAACTGGTGACAAAACAGCTGAAGTTCTTGGAAGTTTTGTCTGTCCAGATCATCTCTTTCCAAGTAGTTCTGTGTGTGAGGGGAAGAATAGGCCCTGACACTGGAAAAACCACAGACTAGAAACTTAAGGGACTTTTGGGAAGGGAGTTTCTGGTTCTGTGTCTGAGCAGGCAAAGCAGGTACATGCAATTGCATTAAAATGTGTTCACCTGGTCAAACCATAGGAGACAAAACCACCCTCACGTACCTATGGGACCAAGAGCTGACGGTATGAAGGAGTACCCTGGGAGGTCTGGGTTTATGTAACAGTAGCATCACTTAATGTTTCAGTCTTAAAACAGGTCACAAAATGGTGTTGTCAAGACTTGCAGTCTGGTTTATATCCAGAAAAATAGCTGACTGGTCTTACCCAAATGTGTTTTCTCCCAGGCTTCCTCTCGGGGTATTAAGAACGCTTATTCTGTAGAGCAAAAGAAAAAGAAACAGGAAGAAATAGAGAAAAGAATTGCAGCTTCAGGTTCTGGAGGAGAAGGAGGACTGAGAGTAAGTTTAAAAAAGAACTAATATGATGCAACTGTCCTTACAGTCCCTGAGAAATCCTATCTTTTTGTCATCTACAAGATTGAATAACTTGAGGAAAAACCAGGAGGAAGGGGAAACGGGATAGAAACGGAAGCACGTGTTGTCACCACACGGTGTTCTCAGTGAGACTTCATTTCCGGGACGCAGAGAGATAGGATGGCAGAGAGCTCCCCCACGTTTCTGCACCTACGATGCATCAGTCTTAGAGTACTCCCAGAACCTCCTCACTGCGTGGGCCCGTGCTCGGTGTCCCTTCTCGGCACCAGCTGCCATTCTCCCTCTTCCCTCCGAGCTTACAGGAGGCGTTTAGACGAGGAGGGTAATGGCTTTGTGTGTCACGTAACTCTCCTCACAAAAGGAACACACAGATACTGATGAACTTCACTGCTAGGACTACTGTTTCTCTCACAGCAGCTTTGTCTCAGAAGGCCAGGCAGAGCTTTAATTAGGAATTAAAATCTCTCCAAGGAAGTAGATGCATCTGGGTATCAAAACACAGGCTTCATAAGCCTTCAGCTCCTGCCCTGGCTGCTGTACGTGCCTCAGGGACGGGAGTTTGTGTAAGTTGACACTGGTGGGCAGTGTGTCCCTCACTTGCTGGATACAAAAGGTGTTAGAATCGGGAGTTACTGTCTTCAGGCAACCTTTCGGGGTTTTAGACAAACCTTTTGGGGTTTTGGGGTTTTTTCCCTTCTTTCCCCTATCTTCATATCAACCTGTGGTGTGTTTTGCTGTTTTTAGTGGCAGGTTGGATAAAGACGTGTGACTTCTGAAGAGAAGATCGATGTTTACTGCCAGTAGCTTGCCAGTTTCTGCAGCAGAGTGGCACCCACTCACCATGTGGCTTTTGCCGTTTGCATACGAAGAGTCAGCAGCACTTTGCCATTGTGGGAGGACAGATGTGGAAACATACACTAAAAAAACCCTGAAGAACTAACTCTGAACACTAAGTCTTGGCCAAATGTGTGTGTATGTTTGTTTTCTGTGCATGTTTGTCAGGGAAGTGAGGTGGGTTTTCTCAGCGGAGGTGGCCTCCTTACCTGTGTCAGATTGTGTACGCTGTCTGCTCAGCTGATGTTTGTGTGTCTGTGGATGACTGGCTTAGGCACAGCTCACCTGCCCCCCTCTTGGTTTTGATGCTTATTTCCAGCTCTACAATTTAACTTTTCTCCAAGTCCTCATGTAAAAAGTTCTTCATAAATACCTGTATTTGAGTATGTGGGTGACAGCATTTCTCCTCAGTTTCCTAATGAATTTTGAACTGCTTAGGGATTTAGTGCCTTTTTCAAAGAAGAAAGCAGATTTATGGTGTGTCCTTACAGTGGGAGCATTTGTGTCAGTTAAAATGTATAAACCTTTGTAAACGCTGTGGACTTGCAGGAAGAAAGCTGTTTTATTGTGAGTCTACTAATTGTTCTCATTCTCTGATGTGGGCTTCTTTTGAGTCTGTAAGTATTTATAATGAGTACTGGAAGTTCAACATTAAAAATGCTGTTATTAATTGTTCTCCTTTTTTACCACACGAGGGCAGTGCTGCACTTCTCAGCATTTTGAAAAACAAACCAAAAGACTAACTACGTCATCCCTTGGGTGGATCATTTCCTAAAGTTCCCGGACGACGCAGGTGGGTTTGCAGCGGGGCAGTAACATTTGCCAAATGTCCAAAGCTCCGTCGCTTCTCTTCCGTATTCAGGAATGTCTGTCAGGCCTTTCCCCATGGGATACTGCCTTTGGTCACGGAGAGCTGTCTCAGCTGTGGGGTTACACCTAGACTTTGAGAGCGCCGGCCCCAGCCCACTGCCTTGATAGGTGAGGGAAGTTGGGTGCAGCTTGGTCAACGAAGCTCGCTCTTTTCCAGAGAGCATTATGCGTGGCCTCAGTATGTTCTGTCCCCATTTCTCACCTAGTTTAGGCTACAGAAGGTTGGGTTTTTTCCCTTTGATCTCAGTATTTCTTCTTTTACCTCCCCCAGTAGTGTCTTGGGAGCACGGTCCTGGCACAACACGTTTCCTGGCTCAGCCTTCAGAACTGAATGGGGAAGGGACACTTGTCAATATTAATATAATGGTGTTTGGGCTAAAAAGCTGTGTCCTTGGCAAATGAACACCTTCAGTTTCCTTTGATTGCTGGCGACTGCTCTCCTCATGGTATTTAAAAAAATCACTGTGACCCATGAAGTCTGCTGAAAACGCATTGCGTTCTAATAAAACCTTCTGCACATCAGTTTGAAACACTCTCAGTCGGACGTCTGGCACAGTGGGCTCCGTCCAGCGATACTGAAGCGGCGCCTGATGCTCGTTGGTCACTCGGGGTGTCGCAGGCGGGAGGCTGTTGGCCGGCTTGTGGCCATCTGCCTGGCAGGTCATGAGTGGACCCTGTACTCAAGGGGTGGTTCTTGCAATTCAGCCTTTCCAGAGGAGAAAATGCTGCTGCTCTCTCCATTCTTTAAGAAGGCCCAGATATGCCTCTGCCACTTCAGAGCCCTCAAGTGTCTCATTCATTCGTGCAGCTGAGAAACACGGAGGAGGAGTTGGGGGGTAGTTCTATATTACAAATTCCCCGATTGATAAAGCCTTTTTTAAGGCGGTTTCTACATCACACCCCCCTTAACTGTTTGGGGGGCCAGTTGTCATGGTTTAACTCCGGC